TTAGTCTTGCATTTTACTCATTTAATCTGATACGTTTTTCGTTAATGACTTTTCTAAGCATAAATCTTCTTATTTCATCATCATAAGGTCGCCTGTCCTAAGACTGGTTGGACACGCACCTCCACTCTTTCCTATCTAGAACATCCACATCCTTAATTTTTTGCTAACAGTAGGGGAGACCGGGGATGGTTGACTAGTTTTTTACTGAATAGTTCATATTTTTTGTGTTTTAATGAATATAGACAAGAAAAGCATGTTAATTGATAGAAAATCTATTAACCTAACAAAAATATGTAATATTTAGTTCTTAGTTTAGTATAATAGTGATGATTTAATGCATTTTACAAAATATTAAATCTTAGTCAATCTACCCCTGGCCCGAGGTAGGTAGACCATATGCCCGGGGTAAGTTGACTCATGTACCAGTAAGAGTCAAATCATGAGAAGGAGCAAATAATTAAACATTTTTTTAATATAATTGAACCTTTTGTTAAAAAATAAACTGGCTAAAGTTTCCTCTTCTAGATTAGTAAAAATTTGTCAATTTTTTATATATTCCACTGTGTCCAGGGTTAATTCTGCTCTCGTCAATTTCGGATTCTGTTCTAATTTTTCTTTTAATTTGGCCACGTAACGATTTAAAAGTCCAATAAAAAGTTAATTTATGTGTTGTTTTCAACTACATATTTCATTGGGGTTGGTTGAATAATTATTCAACCAGCCCCGAAAAAAATTGGTCTACCAACCCCAGACGCCATTTTTAATTTTGATCGCATGGCTATCCTAAACACTGCCGTTGACTTGAAAAATAAGATATGAAATATGATAAATGTGCCCTCATTAAATGCTAGGACTAATAGAAAAATGATTTACATAAAACGAGTAGGCATCAGATCAAAAAATACAATGTATCAAAATATTACTTATGTAATTGAAATATGAAAAACATGTCAGTTTTCGAAAACAACGCAAGGCCGCGATGTGACGCTTCAGACAACTGAGCGGGACGCGAAATGTAATGCTCGGTTATGATAAAATGACATTGTTCATACACCTTCGATGAGTTTTCGGTAGTTAGTCTACCTACCCCTATAGTCAACTATCCCCGGTCTCCCCTAATCTGCTTCTACCATACCTCTGACTAGACCTTCACGCCTCAGAAGGTGTCCTACCAACCTATCTCGCCTATTTTTTATTGATTTCCATAGAATCCTCTGTTCTCCTATTCTTTCTAATAATTCTTCATTTCTAACCTTCTCTATCCACGGTATCCTCATCTTTCACCTATAACACCACATTTCGAACGCTTCTAAGATTTTCTTTTCAATTGCGCTCACCATTCATGTTTCGCACCCATACAGCGCCCCGCTCCAAACATACACCTTTCACAATCTTTTTTCTTCTCCTTCCTTCCTGACTTTTGTCACTTCCTAGATACCTATAATAGCTACTTCTTCTAATCTTTCGTCCCCTATCTTTACATTCGCTCTTTCCCTATACCATGCCAGTATTTATAAAGATAGACTTGGTATTGGTCTTGCGTTTTCGGTCGACGTCAATTGAGAAATCATTTTTATGGGGGAAATATTTTTATGACTTTTTTTGATACTCAAAGTAATGGTAAAGCTCCCCCATTTTTCATAGTACTGAAGTATGCAGTCCGTAAGTTTAGTGCATATTGGAAGTCGCCAATTAAAATAGGTAAAATATCTTTCCTTCCTTATTCTAAATATGTCCTGGCGGAATGTTATAAAGAGCACAGTTAATAATGCACTTTCATTTTTCCAGCAAAATAAACAGCCTCCTACGTTAAGCACGCAACGTAATTATACCCCTTGCGATTAGTGGACTGCGATTTCTTAAGGCATCGAGAACGTAATGTAAACGATTGGTCCGTTAGATGAACAGTTACCATTCATCAATTGAAAAAATCCTCTAACTGCTCATTACCACAATTGCTTGCAAATACATAGAGCCTTACGCACTGTGTTTACATAGTTTATTATTATATAATAATGCAACTAAATTGAAATTATTCAAATATGAACATAGTATAAACACCCGTTCCCATATTTTCTTTTAGAAAATTAAATCACAAAAAATTATTAATGTGCACACTGTACACACCATTTGTTTTTCTTTTTTTTTATAATCACTAAATAGTATAAAACAAAGTCGCTTTCCCGCTATCTGTCCTTATGTATGCTTAAATCTTTAAAACTAGGCAACGGACTCTGATGCGGTTTTTTTTAAAGATAGAGTGATTCAAGAGGAAGGTTTATATGTATAATACATGCATAATATAGAAAGGAAACACTGATAATTTTAGAGGTTTCTAATGTGATGTAAATAAACACATTTTTTGCGCTTACATTGCAAACGCTGGCTGAACCCTATGAGATAGATCAAAATAATATACTACAATATTGTACATCTTAAAAGGGTGTACAAAAAAGTCTGCGATGGTACATGTCTATCTCTGAGGGATAACCCACAATAACCATTTTTATCCTTTACTTTTTATGAGAAATAATGACTTATTTACAAAGCGATTGTAGGCAATACAGCATTAATTCTTATCCACTTAAGTACCTTAAATACATTGTGCATTTAATATAGATCAATATGGCCCTTTGCAACATGTAATTTAAATGAATATTTTCGAAGATATTACAGATTTAAAATGCAGGGACATAGCGGTTGCGGCGGTACCGGCTGGGAGGCCGGTTTGTATTGTCTAATGACAAGAAAACTGTGAATGTTGTATATAAAGACATTCTGTAGTATATTTAGTATGTTCAGGGGGTATCTTTTGAAGATTTCCCTTTTTCTATAATAATCTAAATGAGACAAAAATATATTTAGTATGAGCGTTGCACCCGTGCGAAGCTAGGGCGGGTCGCTAGTTAGTTAATAAAATATCTCAGAACGAGGTATACGTGTGAGATTTTGTCTCTAAAAATCAAGATGCCGCAAAAATACGAATCTAAATTTACCTTTAGATTATGTCCTTCCAGGTAATTTTATATAGCTACATACGGTGTTTTCGTTGTTATGATAACATATCTCAGATAAAAAACAATTATTAAAAGATATTCTTATCACACCAAAACAACCGAATAAAAACAAGTAATAAAAATTACGCTATTTTTGTCTACTGCTCAAAAAACTTAACAGTTTAGAATGACACGGACTTAGTTATTTTTCAAATGATTTAACCACGTGTCTAGCCGTACAATTACGACTGGAGCTCTACACAGATTGCAAAAAGTGACGGTTCGACTTTTTAAGATGTAGAAATGTAGAAATCAACTAATAGGCGGAGTTGTGTTATTATTCTAAATTACGTCTAACATATTTTCCTTAGTTCTTTGATTGTATCAAGTATATAACGTAAGCATTTTTGTAGGTAATAGAAATATCCTTATTCTATAAAACATGCATGGTAATTACAAAAAAGTAAAAACTTATTTGATCGGCATCATACCATTTCCATACTCGAATTACTATATAATATGATAAATAGGTAAGCAGATAATAACAGCAAATTATGAAAGCAAAATTTACATAATAAGGGCTTAACAATAAAATGAAACCGTAGAAATGTCCTTGATAGAGGAATATAATTTGCCATAATTCATAATAATTATGAGTTTGATTTTGATAAAGTGTTATAACAAAGAAATTAAAAACTAAAATGTCATACAAATACAGGGTGGCCCAAAAAGTACGCAAAATGCTCACTGCAGTTGAACTGTAAGTTTAATCGGAAAATTTTCTAAGCGAAATTGCTCTCTATTTGAATACAAAATTGTGTCTAAATTTTATCTTTTTTGGTTTCTGTTGAAGTGATTCAGAAGGTATCTCTAACTCTTCTTTGCTAGATGCTAATACTGCTATATCATCTGCAAAATTAAGCATACTAATCTTTTGCCCCTGTATATCTATCCCTACAGTTGTACTGCCTCTACTGATGTTGATCGCGTCTTCGATGTATAGATTAAAAAGTATCGGTGACAGTGTGCATCCCTGTCTGACTCTCTTCTTAATTTTTACTTCTCTACGTTGCAGCTCCAGCTCTGAAACTTCCTGTTGCTCTTTAAACAAACTATATATCACTCTTAGAAAAAAATACTGTTCCCGAGGCATAGGAAAAGTTGGTTTTATGTGGTCGACAGTTGATCTTTGAGACAGCAACGCGAGTGAAGCCGCGGATAAAAGCTGGAAATGTATAAACGCCTATAGAAGACATTCCCTTTCGTGTCTCTGGTTCTTTTTAAATTATTGTATCCAACATTAAATTGTTGTACTATGTACTGTGTAGCATATCCAAGTAAGCTTTAAGATTGTTAACAAAGAAGTAAAGGATTCCGTGTCGGTGATTTCGTCGAGTCAGGTTTTGCATTATAATTAGGCCGAAGTGGTTCGTTCGACTTCTTGGAACGCATTGTTAAAACAGGATTCCATCTGCAATACGCACACGGCATGCCGTATACGAAAAGGGCTCGAAACGTGGTTCAGGATAATTTACGTTTCCAGCGCAAATGGAATTAGTACATTGAGCATACCAATTTTGAACAACTGTGGGAAAAATCCCAAGTATTCCAGGAAGCAGTGCAATTATTTAACGATAATCTGTTCGTTCGTCATTTCTGATGCAAATGACTATATAGTAAATCAACATGTATGATTCTCACATACATTTACTATTTTTGTTAAATTGTCAGAAGCTACACATTACGATCATGTTGCAAATCAGGAACCTTTTCGTCCATACGATGCCATACCACCCTTTGGAAACATATATCTTTATGGTTTTGTAATCGACTTCATTTTATAATCAACAATAGAGCCCGTAGAGTCTGAACCATGAGATGTTTTCTTCTCGTCTAAAGTCCAAAATGCCCATTGAGAAATAATATGTTTCAAAATGATTTAGGAATATTTATATTTAGTCCGGCTTTAATCAAAATCACTAAATTTTATTTTCTTCCTTTCAGATACATCCACAGTAAAGAGAAACCATTCAAATGCGGAGAGTGTGGCAAAGGTTTCTGTCAGTCTCGTACTTTGGCTGTCCACAAGATTCTCCATATGGAAGAATCACCTCACAAGTGTCCAGTTTGCAGCAGATCGTTTAACCAGCGATCGAATCTCAAGACTCATCTGCTCACGCACACCGATCACAAACCTTACGAATGCAATTCATGCGGAAAAGTATTCCGAAGGAATTGCGATTTGCGTCGCCACGCCCTTACTCATGCCGTTGGGGATGTGCCGTCCGACGGTTTAGGGGACGGTTACGTCCCGGTCGGGAGCGAGTCGGACAGGATGTCACCAAGACCACGCAGTCTATCATTAGAAAGTAGGGATGAAATAAGGGTCAGTTCGCCAGTTCCAGAACGTACCCAATGTCACGAACCTTGTAGTTCTAACAATCCGTATACTATGAGACCTAACCCAGAGAATGGCAGAGATCGCTCCGATAATCCAGACTATTCTCATGATGATCCCGAGTCGGACGACAACGATCCCGAAATTGATCCAGGGCAAGAAGAAAATCCTGACATCAGTCACGACGAAGAATTAGAAGTAGAGATACAAGAACCCAAGCAGCACATCGAAGTTCATCATCCCCAACTCCAAATCAGGAGGGACCTTCATCCTCCTCAAATAAAACCATCAACAATAACAAGTGGTTCCTTGGAACCCTACTACCTCGGCCCTTACAGGAAACGAACCCTTGATTCTGACAGGCCGGACAGGCCATCGACATCAACCTTCTCAAGCGGTCGTCATTCTCCGTCTCTTGGTCTGAGAATGCCACAAATTCATTTGCAACCGCCTGGACATCTCCATCCTTCTCATAGTATGGGTTTGATGCCCCAAAACGTTCCTATCCCTGCTTCTCATAATATACTCAAACCGCCGGACGTGCAGAGCGGTAACAGTTTAGGGAATTCGAGTCAGATGACATTTATACCTAATGCACATATGGCTAGTACTCATATTAGTGTCGGACCCGAGTGTTCTAAACAATTTCTGAGTTCGTCAGGATTTTTAAGTGCTAATCCGGGAGTTTCAAAGATGAGTGCTGTAGTTCCTAGTGGAAGTAGTTGTAATACTGGCAATAACATGCCCAGCGATCTATCAATGAAGAAAGACGATCTACCACTACCAAGACCTCCGCAAAATCCTCCAACAAAGAAGACTGGATTCACCATTGAAGACATCATGAGGAGGTAGTGTTTCGAATAAATATGACAATATACACAATCGTTTCGTCTGTTAGACAAATGTTCGTTATGTAAATTTTTGGAAGAATTGCAACTGAACATAGCATGTAAATATGTAATATGAATAATAATTCAGCTCATCGATTATTTCGTAACTTTTACCTTAAAGCAATAGCCTACAGTCAGCTACAAAAAAATAAATCATTTCACTTTCTAATTGTAAAAGTTAAGTAGCCAGTAAATTTTGTATCATTGTATATTATAGTCGTCTTAAGACAGCATGCTTTTTAAATTTGTAATTTATTTCTAAGTTGTACATTGACTTCAATATATGAAATGGGACAAATTCTCGCAAATATTTTTTGATATGTATAGGAATACAAAATGAATGTACAAAACTAGATTATATTTTTGTAACATCATAAATTTTGTATGCTTTACCTGTAAGTATTAGTGTTTTTTGTTCAATTTGCAATTTGTTTTAAATTATTATTTATAATACACATAATGCTCGATCTCATTGAGATGTTAATGGTGTGAATGCAGATGGCATTATCTTTTATTATTGTTTAGTTTTAGGTTGCATAAAAGTGAATGTGTCTCGGTATACCTATGTTACTTTAAGTTTTATGTTTCTATTGTAAATTTCTAAAATTGTGATGTAAATTTCTTTGGAAAATAAAGTAATAAATGATAAACAAATAACAGTGGCGTGTTCTGTCTGTGAGTCTTCATTTTCAAACAGTAGGAGCGTACAAAATTGATATTGATATGTTAGGACATAAAATACATAGTAAACGAGCTCACTCTCTATAAGAAAAGTATATCTTAATAAGCTCGCTATAACGTTAGTATTAGTAAACCCTCTATAACGAAGACCTTTATTTATTACTTAAGCTTAAAAGCTTCTTTGGCTTATGACCAATGGCGAATTTTCCTTGTGGTCATTTGACCGATGACCAATCATCCAGTTTTAATGAAACTGAATATACAAATGAATTTCTTCAATTTCACCAACAAAAGACATACAATTTTTTACTAATCTTCAGCACCCCGGGGCCTTCTTATGACATTGACCGTTAGAAATTAAGAAAAGAAAGAAATATACTGTCCCTGCAGAGTAATTGCGAGCTACCATATCTGCCAAAGCTTCGATGATATCGATAGCCCGATCCGAAACTGAATCGACTTCAATTGGAAATTATCGATCGAGAGAGTTTAACATTTCCTTCAGCGACATCACGTATACACACACAAACGCTCCAAAATCTTTACTTTACTACTTTAAAGACTTGAAATGATGTCTAAACTAATGTTAAATTTAACGCAAATAACAAAAAAAAAACAAGGACAAAGCTATCAGTCGGTACTTTTTTGAAATTGCTACGTAAAAAATGCGTTATTCGTTACCCCTTATGTTATTTTTTTAAGGCTAGAAATTGTGTTGTAACACTCAAAAGAAAAGGTGAAAATTCTTCTGTTCTGAACATAAACAGTTTCAACCAATCAGGCTAAAGCCTAAGTTAAGAGTTAACGACAAGGTAATTGATCATTTCGTGGCACCCGCCACATATTGAAAGACGAATCGATCTATAGTTATTATCAATAGAATCAATAAATAAGATGGAACATTGATCTTGAAATCACGAGTTTTTTTTTTAATTTCACCACACATGCGTATGACTCATCATGAGTCGTCATTGCTTATAATCCCAGTGGCAGATTATGCGTAAAGCACATGCTTAGGGCGCAAGGTTAGAAAGGGGTGCGCGAAAAATATTTCGCAACCGTACAGCGCCGCGCTCAAAAAAAATTTTATATATAAAATATATGACCGCCAGAGGGGCGTCTACGGGGTGCTAGCCGTCTCGATATTTAATCCGTCTCTATATAATCCGTATAATGTCTAAAACAGTTGTTAATAATATCAAATAAAACTCTCTGTAACGAAAGAGAATACTGAATACAACGAGTTAACAATGTAATAAGAAGTAGTTAAAAAAATCGTTAATTTATTTGGATATCTATTGAATTAGTAATGGATTCAACATTTTTAACTTTTTAATCGCTAAATGGCTAATTTATATTAAACAGAAAACGTGCTTCAGAATTTTCAAGACGTCTTGTATTTATATCTAGGCCTTTAATCAATAATAATTTTAATAGCGAAACCCGTATGTTATTCTAATTGGTTAAATAGTTATTATGTACGTTTTTAGAAAGGTAGCCGACTAGAATGTCAATTAAGTAATTAAATTATGATTTAAAAAGAACATTAATTATTCTTTTACGCCTTTTTGTCGCAATTAATGAATTAATTAATAGTTTTGTGGTCATCGAAACAACATCTGGTTTAGCTAAATGCTAAATTCACGAAGACTCGAACAGAAAAGGCAAGTTTTTGTGTGACTCCCCAGGCATCGATGTTCTTTCAGGTAATGCGTTGCTGTTTATTGGAAGAATTTTAGTAAATTTATGCGACATCCAAAGCCCATTCGCGCAGAATGGTAGAACAAAAGATTGTTTGTTCAGGACAAAAAAAAACAGGAACTCTTCCTGTGTTGCTGTTTATATGTATACATATAACATAAACTCAAAATAAAGGAAGGCCACCAAGGTCTTTAGACTTTTAGAATATACAAAAAAAATTCATCCAAGGGCCTAATTGCGAATCCGGTTCATGGGTTTGATTTTATGGCGGTGGATACAGAATCGTTATAATAACATAATAATCATAATATAATAAGAAAGATAGAAAAACACACGTAGAAAATGGAAAAGGAAATTTTACATAAATAATAAAGCGATATTTACAATTTATCCCACTATCCCATTGCTTCGTAAGCAATAATAATAAAAATTACAATTTGGACCCCAATTTGTAAAAATAAAATCCCAGTTGAAATATATTTACTAGGTATTTCAGTTGATATTACAAATTTAATCGTAATAATTAAGAAACTTGAAATAATTTTTAAAGAAACATGTCAAAATTGAGATTATTACAAATTACATAATAAATTCTACTATTTCTACGGCAAATTCAGTCATTTAAAATCAAAAATTGTAATTTTTGCGTTGTCATAAAAATTTAGTTTTCTCCATGCAGGTTAGAAACTCACTTCTACTCCCTATACTGAGTTCCCCGACTAGAATTTATAGAGTTTATAGGAGGCACGCCTAAAGTGACCGTATTTTTTTCTTGTCAAAGCGGGACGTCCGTTGTAGAATTATGTAAAAACAAAGTGTTTTTTTTTTATTAAAAATGGGTGAAGTACGTTACATTACTTCTAGTTATGCTGTATTTTATTTTGTTTTTTGTTATTTGTTGGCTGAACAAATCTTTTTTAAAGCTTCTGGTTTCGATTTTTAGGTACGAATAGACCTCAGTACACGATTTATTTATGTTAATCTTTGTAATCAAAATGGTTTTCAATACTGAAACGCTCAACTGTCCTTTTTTACTCGTCCGTATTTGGTCATTTGAGAAAAGAGTCTTTCGATAGGTGCGTTACTTCCAGACAGACACAAGACGTACTCAATAGTTATATAAAAGTTGGTTAAGTGTATATTGTTTGCAAGGAAGTACTGGAATAATTCCACCCTACGGTTTTCAGCAATCAAATTCTCAGCATTCCAGGTAGTGATTTTTTGGTCTGTCGTAAAGCTGGAAAACTCGTCGAAAATTTTGGTGTCCTGATTCTTACAAATAAATTCTTGCGCTTGGCGTAAATGTAAATTAAATTATCATTTGGTCTGTTTGCGAAAACGGGACTTTTATGCCATCGCTGCCCCATGCCCCATCTCATGTGCAGGCTTCATGTCGTTAATAAGAGCCATGCCGATATAGGGATTTCCCCGCAGATTCCTCATGAAAATCCCATCAAAAGAATTGGTGATACTAAAATAAGGATAACCTTATGGGTTTTTCATATGGGTAGCAGTATTTTTTCCTGCGGGGGGTATATGGGGCATTCCTGATGATGCGCAAATGCGGGAAGACGTTCTATGCCCCTTCCTTGCATCAGGAGGCAACCTCATGGGGCTCACAAGAGGTAGTGTGGCTACCCACTTAGGTACCGTACCTACACCCTCCTGAAAATTCTATTCGGGTCGCATTTCTCGAAAACAAGAACTATTTACGAACAGTAATAATCTAATCTAAGTCTTCCCTGTCTCTCTCTCATATATCCTACCATCCTGTCTCCCTATTTCCTCATTGACTTCCATACTCCCCCCGTTTATCAAGTTTTTCCAGTAAGTATTCTCTCATTTTTTATTTTTTTTGTTCATATTTTCATCATCTACCCTCAACACCATACCTCAAACGACTTATTCTTTTTCGCATACATACCTACATTTTAAACCGTTAGAGAACATAGATGTGATTGTTTTTAATAAATACAAAAAAAAAACAGTAAAGGTATTGGAAACAGTAAGAGAGCATCAGAGGGCGAAATGGAAGACATTAAGAAATAGACGAGATAGTTTAATATGAAGAGTAGTAAGTGACATATTAGAAGCAGAAACAGGAGTTAAGAGGAGTTGTAGTACGACTAGATTAGATTACTGTTCCGAAATAGTTAAGGATGGTGGATGTTCTACTTTTAGCTCAGGATAGGAAGTAGTGGAGGTGTGTGTCCAACCAGTCTTAGGACTGACGATTCTATGATAATTGTTCCTACTTGTTTTAGTAATGGATACAAAACCTACTTACTACAGAAGTTTTAACGTTAGACTAAACCATAACGGTGATATTATACAACCCTGATTATAAAAAATATTTTTGCTTTGACTCATCGTAAGTGTTAAAGTTGTCGTTTCCATTATTAATGCTAGAAATACACTATTATAGAAGCACAGATTGTAATATCATACATAATTCTTGAACTAATGGATAGTCCTTGACTAGTACAAAAACATTTATACAAACCCTTTTTCGCTATTAACCTTACTTTTCAAAATATTTCAAATAATAGTTGGAGACTTCAATGCTGGATCAAGCGACAAACCTCACAACAGAAACCACATTTTCACTATAGTAAAATGCGGTAAACCATAAATCAAATATTTGAGTAATTCTCATGGAAGTCAATGGATGTCTGGGCTCAAATCACGTTATTATTACACATATATTAATACCTTTTAGTCGGTATTTTTTTTACTGAACTTATTCCATTAAAATATTTCGACCTGTATATGTCTTATTTTTTTCGTATTTTGTGTAGTTTAAAAATTCATTTGTAAAGAAAAATTGTACCACCTTGACACTACTAATTAAGAGGTTAAAAATGAGAGAAGCAGGTGCGTAAGTTCATGACTAATCGCCTTGTGCTAAGAATGGTCTTAAATTCAACGAACCGCCCACGTGCCTTATAATAATTAAGACCTCACCTGCAAAACAAAAAAAAACTGTGGTAAATTATACAAACTTTTTTGTGCTCTTGCTTTATTTCCTAAACAGGAAATAAAGTTATATGTATTGAGTTAAAGCAGAGCTAGTTTATGCTTTGCAAGTCACAATCACATAAGTAGTGTTCTTCCAGAATCATATTAAAATACCTTTAAAAAAAATGAGTAAACATTAAAAAAAGGCTTCAAACTTTTGTTAAACCATTCCACTTCGTCATCATCATAAGGTCGTTAGTCCTAAGACTGATTGGACACGCAACT